TTCTTATTAGCCCAAGTACTTACATGAGAGCTGAGGGGGCTTTTACCATTTTTGTAGAGATCAAAATACAAGCCAGATTCTGATTTTTTCAGGGGAAATGCTGGGTGGGGACATGAGCTAAAAAAAAAAAAATAATAAGTGTATGAATCTGTGAGAACCTTCCAAAATTGACCTTGGTCTAAGTAAACCAAGAACTTTGCAGCCATGGCTTTTGTATTAACTTTTAGTATGCTATTGGTAAAAGATTTTACTCCCACCACTGGACACTCATAGCATGAAAAACAGAGTGATAGCTATAAACATTGGACCCAAAGCACTTTAAGGAGCTCCGACTATATGTGGTAAGCACTGGAGATACAAAGAAAAGTAAAAGTCAGTCTCTGCTCTCAGGAGCTCACAGTCTAATGAGTACTGAGAAACTCACTTGGTCAATGGAGAAGGGGGATGTGACCCTGTTTCTGGGTTTCCCCCAACCCCTACCTTGATGCCCTCTGCTACAGGAGAAACTCTGCTTTTTGAAAAGTGATCTAGAAGCTTGACAAAGCAGTTGAAATGTCCTTACAGGAATGCCTGTCAGAGAGGGAGAGAGAGAAACTTTATTATGCACTTTCTAGGTGATAGAGACTATAATAAGTGGTAGATATAAATACAAGCAAATATAACAGTCTCTGCTTTCAAAAAGCTTACATTCTAATGGGGGCAAACTACAGGTAGGGGTGCTGAAAATTAGTGGGGAGAAGAGTAGCCAAAGTCAAGCCAAAGAGGGGATAGAGTCCAGGTGAAAGGGAGGTAGAATATGGCTGGGGTCCTTCCTAAAATACAGTTTCTTCAACTGATTTCATCCAGTGGCTGAAAGTACTTTACTCCTCACACCTATTTACACATTTGATTGTTAATAATTGATTCAATAGAGGTGCCTAGTTTGTTCATACCTAGTTTAAATATTTAATTCTCACCTAATAAAGCTATCAGGGCTTAGAGAATCTTGTTAGTTACCTTAATTGGGGTTGAAGGTGTGAAACATCTTTCTTACAAAAGTTTAAAATAAGAATGAAAAGATAATGAGGATACAAACTAGTAATCTGTCAAGTGGAATAAGGAGAGTAAAGCTTTCAGAATGTAATTTTGTATATTTGAACTGAATATTCTTCCAATAGTTAAAAGTTAATGATAGCAAAGATACCATAATTACCAGGAGGCATTGCTGACCAAGTATCTAAACCTAGTCAGTGATGAGTCAAGGAATATCAATCCCATGTTCATTCCAGTGATTACATACTTCACCCAGAACTAGAGGACACTCAGGAGCAACACCCAGCTCTTGATGCCTCTCAGAAAGCTTCTCTCTCTCAGTACATGGTGTAGTGGAAGAACATTGGATTTGGAGTCCAAGAAATCTAGTATCAAATCCCAGTTATACCACTTCCTGCTTGTGTGACTGTAGGCAAGACATAAATATTTCCCCCTCTCAGCCTTAGTTTTCTCTTCTGAAAATGAAGAAATTGGACTAAATGACCTCTAAAGTCACTTTGAGATCTAAATTTATCATTCTGTGATCCTATTAACCACTACAAGAATTGGGCGCTGGTAACTTCTCCGATACCATACAGTCCAAAATCCTTTCTACACAAACCAAAGCCAAGAGCTCAAATACAACAGGAGCTCAGATTCAACCCTCCCATTTTCCTGTAAACAAACCAAAAAGCAAGTGGTTCAAAGAAACACAGTTCAGGTGATTACCTGAATAGAAGCATACCACCTCTATGCCATAACCTCTCACCACAGGAAGAAAAAGTGCTTGTATAGTCTGAAGTTCTCAGCTGGATCCTACCCTGAGACATTTCCCAGTTCTTTTCCTCATTTGCTGCTCTAACACTGGCAGGGAGCTTGAATTCCACCACAATCCTCCCTCCCCTCCCCCTAACTGCATCTAAGCTTTGCTCACTCACTGGGCTATATAGTGAAATGAACATTTCCCTAGTTGAGTTCACATCCTGCATCACTTCACCTGTATTGCCATTTGCCAATAATTCAAACTCCCTTCACTCTTTGGCTCTTTCCATAATTTTCCATAATTGTAAAAAAACTCGACAAAGCTTTTCAGTTGGGCCGGTCCTGAGGCACAGGCCAATAAGCTAGGTCATTCTTCCTTTCTTCCTCTCCACTTTCCTATTCTTGTTATAGGGAAGAGGTAGAGCAGGGCAAGGAGGTGTATTGTATCAATAATAATGCACAAAAATATTAAAAAACTTAAAAAATAATAAAAAATAATAACAATGCACAAATATGTGGGACTTTATGACTTACAAAACCCTTACATACATCATCTCATTTGATGCTCAAAATAACCTTGTAAGGAAAGCAGTGTAATTACTTGTTATGAGGGTACTCTCCCAAACTCACAGAGTAGGTTCCCAAGATTAGGATATCCCAGGTTTATAATATCTCTGGACCTATATCCATTAAAACTATTGCCCACAAGCCCCCATTAATGTGTTTATCTTCAATAGCCAGAGGAGAAAATTAGTTCAAAGCAGAAGTATTTAATGAGATGATATAAATTTATTGATGTATACAATAAACCTTATACATTTTTATATCTTTAAAAAAACTTTCAAAGTATAGTATTTCCTTCTTTGACTGCAATCACTTGTTTTACATTTGGCATTGAAACACCTACTCTTTAATTGTTCATAATGAAACTACACATCATATTGCGTATTAAACATTTCTTTGATGAACAATCCCTTTTTCCAAAATTAACCTTGATTATTATAGCTTATGGGTTTTTAATGTGGTTCAGATCAGGTGAGCCCTCCGTCTACTAGATCACGTTCATCTTTCTCTTAGACAAATTTCTTACCCTTTCAAAATATGTGATGTGTGATATGGTAAGAGGTTATGTTGTATTGAACCTGATTCCCACCATATACTCCAAATATTGCCCCTGCTCAGCTTTTGCTCATGTGTTTGCCTCACCTGAAATTGCTTCCCTTCTTCCACTCCTTCCCCCTTTGCCCAGTTATATCACAATAATTTACTATTTTAGTGCACAGAGTCTCTTTGAACCTATCTCTTAATGACTTATAAAAATTATTTCGCAATTTATCACTTAGTTGTGACCTTAGTGTTTCACTTGCTAAATTTATCTCCCCAAATAGATCACAAGCTTCTTAATAGATAGTGGGGTATAGTGGAGATGGTTGTGGATTTGGAATACAGAAAACCTGGATTCATATCCCATCTCTGGCACGCACTTATGTGTGACCCTAGGCAAATCACTTCACTTCTCTGAAAGTGTCAGTTCCTCATCTGTAAAAGTGGAGGTAATGACAGCCATAGTACCATCCTCACAGAACTTCTGTGAGGTTCAAATAAGAGAATGTATATAAAGTACTTTGAAAATCTTTAAGTTCTGTGTAAAAATCAGCTGTCATTATTATTGTAGGTATATTGACGATGGTGGTGGTGATGATATAACCAGATGTTAAAAACCAATTTGCATGAGACTTTTCTTACTGGTAGAGATTAATTACCCAATAGTGCAAGTATGCTTAAGGAGCGAAATTGGAAGAGGAGAGATCTTGATATTTTGGCTTCCAGCTTCAAGGAAGAAAACACACAATGTTCCAAATTCTCTTCAGAGAGAGAACTCTGAAGGGAGAGAGACTTTGGGAGGAAGCAGGCATGTAGAAAAGCCAACACCTCCATCATGTCCTTGACTCCATAGTCTTTACCTTCTTCAGGTTCCTCTCCCTAAAGAGAATCTGGAACAATACTGAAAGTAGAAACTATATCTTATGTCTCACTTTGGTTCCTCTATAGTGCCTTGCTTGTTGTGAGACACATAGTAGGCAGTCAGAAAGATTAATTACCCCCTCCCCAAACCATCATATGCTCATTATTCACTGGAAATATTTGATTTCTAAAAACTAGCCCTAAGAATAAGTACAGTGTTTACCATTTGTTCCCCAGAATTAAAAATACTATATGAAATACCACCCAAAATAAATGTGAAGAGATGCTTTCAAAAAATATTCAAAATACTGTCATCTCCTCAGAGAGTTGGAAGAGAGCATCTTTGCTTTTTTAACTATGTCTTTCTTTTCTTTATGTTATTTGATGTGGTGATTTATATTAATATATTTAAGGTCACATTTTCTGGGCTACCAGAATTGGTATAGCTGAGGCCTATTTGTGTGTACACACATCTGACAACTGAATGCATACTTGCCCACTTTGCAAATGCAAATTAAGGTCTTGTGCATGCAAAAGCCATGGACACTTTGAAATGTCAACTATTCGTTATGTAAAATGATATATTTAGCTTTCTCAGATGTCATGATTTTGAAGTTGTAAGACACAACCAAAACCATTCACAGAAATAACTCTCACATGAAGCTTTGGAATGCTCTGGAGTGTATAACATATGTTTAGTGAAAGAGAATTCAGCTGACTAAAACTTATACATATTTTTAAGGAAGAGATGATAATATAAATAGCTTCATAAGATGTGGGGCCTGGATCCTGTATTTCTTGCTTTGGCAGAATTTGTGCTGACTTTCATAAGGGTTCTTGCCCATGAAGTAAAGAAGCATACAGTGAAGCCAAATTGTATCTTTATTAGGATGAGAAGATGGCTTTCAGCAAATATAGCCAGAGGAGAGGGATGATTTTGAAACCAAGCCTCATACAATATTCATCTTAGCAATTGCTTTTTGTGTAAAACCAATATTATTATGATAATAATGCATCCACAGATATTCTAAAGCTAGAAATAAATCATAATTTCATATTTTGACCCAAGATAATCAAGGAATTTCTTAGTTAAAAAAAAAAAACCAGAAAAGTGTTACTTGGTGCAATGAAGATCTTTGGTTTCTGATTCAATAGCATTTTTTCTATCTCCTCCAGAAATGCATTTGAAACAAACTTTAACTTTATAGTAGAGTTAATATTTTTAGATTTCATGTATTCTCTCTGGTTTTTCTTGCTTCTAGGCACAGCCCAAGGGCTCAGAATGGTCAGACTCTATGGCCTGTGTCATGAAAAAGTTAGAGCAGCTAAATTTAGATATTGAAGAAGCTCTCAGTGCTGGCTCTTCCCCTTCTCATACTCCTTCTTTCAAAAGGCGCAAACAGCAGGTAAGATTACTTTGATTTTATTAAATATGGTCTGTTCAATTCAATTCAACAAAGATAAATTAAATAAATACTACATGTAAGGCATTGCACTAAAAGGTTTTAGAACTAAAAAGATAAAAAACAGCGTAGTCCCTGTCCTCAAGAAGCTTATAGTCTGGTAATTATTGCATGGTAAATGTAAATCATCCCAGAAGTAACTGTGATTTGGGTTAGGATCTCAGATATTCTGTACCTCTTGGGTGAAAAAGAAATTGGGGAATGCATGCTTATATTTTGTAATGGGAGCTTTGGTGATTGAAAACTTAGAATTTCTCAGACAAACCAAGTGGCAAGTAAAGCAATGTCTTCCTTTGGGAGACATAACAAAATAGGTAAAATATTTGCATTACTTTGAATAACTAGGATCTAGAAAGTTTTTTTTTAATTGAATGAATAAGCCTATAAAATATTTTATTAAATATGTTTAAAAATCTCTCCATTTTTTTTTCACTGAAATGCGGTATATGCTGCTTTACAAAGAAGGGAATTCCAAGTTTTAAAACCAAGTCTTAAAACTCCAAGTCTTAAAATTTAACTTAATTCATGAAACCTTTGGACAAACCTAGTGGTATGTAATTTATGCCTAGGATTGTGAAAATTTAATAGGGCATGAAAAGGTTTGGCAACATTTTTCCATAAGGCCACTAGATAAAGATTTTATAATATAACACAAAAGCAAACTTTTGGAAAGCACCTGCTGTGTATAGAATACCATCCCTAGTGTGGATAGATTCAAGATGCAATCAAAGGTTAGATCAGATACAGTCCCTATCCTTGAGGAGCAGCTTCAGTCAGTCCAGTAGAGGTATGGAACAAACACAAAGGGCTGGTTCAAGTGGAGCAAATGTGAAAATAGAAAGAAGGGGATGAGTTTAAGAGATTTCGTGGAGATTGAATCAACAGGACCTTATGATTTGTTTAAAATAAGAGGAGAGGGAGCAAAAGAAGTCAAAGATTCAGTTTGACAATTCAGTATCCAACATTCCATTTCTCAACTTCAGTCATTTTCACTGGTTGTCCCCTAGAATGGTCTCCCTCCTCATCTCCTGATTTCTTTGGCTTCCTTCAAGTCTCAGCTAAAGTCCAACATTCTGCAAGAAACCTTTCCTGGTCCTCCTTAATCTTAGTGCTTTCCCTCTGTTGATTATCTGTTGATTTATCCTGTATAGATCATTGTTGTACATGGTTGTTTTGTGTTTCCTCCCCCATTAGACTGTGAGCTCCTTGAGACCTAGGACTGTTTTCCCCAACTTTGTTTGTATCTCCAGAGCTTAGCACAGCGTCTGACTAGTATGTAATGGTTGCTTTATAAATGCTTGTAGACTTGACTTGAATTTCCTAAGCACTTACTATGTACAAGGCATTGTGCTATAATCTCAGAATTATGAAAATGAAAGGTAACAACATGACCAAAAATAGTGAACTCAGAAGGTAGAAAAGGTTTACAGAGAAAGGTAATGAGCAATGATATCAAATTTTGATCTGTTGAGTTTGATATTTAGGTCCTATAGGCAATTGAAAATATTGTTATAAAGCACAGAAGTCAACCCAGAAGACACATATTTGGGAGTAAACTGCACAGAGATGATAATTGATGTCCTTGGATTGAGTGAAATTGGCCAGAGAAAATATATATAGAGAAAAGAAGGACAAAGACAAATACAAAATGAGATAGAGAACATATTTTTATGGGGATAGCATAGTGGAAAATATAATAGTCTTGGAGTCAAGAAGCCTGGGTTCATATCCTGGTTCTAATACTTATTATGTGACTATGAGGTCTCACCATTTAGCCTATCTAAGCCTCACTTTCCTCCTCTGTTCAATGGACATGCTTGCATTTCCTGCCATACAGATAGGAAAGGATTTTGTAAACTTTTAAAAAAACTATATAAATGTTAATCATATCATAATTTGATATATTTTCATAAAGCAAAATGGTACTCAATCATATATTTGAGAGTTGGAAAGGACCCTAGCCTCTGTCTGGTTCAATCCACATCAACATGTATTAAAAGTGGTAGTACAGCTTCTGCTTGAAGACCTCTCTATATGAGAAGCCCGCTACCCTTTGAGATAACCCATTCCACTTTGGGGCAGTGATAATTGTTAGGAAGTCTTTTCTGACATGGGTGGCACAGTGAATAGAGTGTTAGGCCTGGAATTAGGAAGGCCCAAGTTCAAATCCAGCCTCAGATACTTACTGGGGCATACAGAACAAGTTGAATCTCTCTTCAACGTGGAATTTTTTAAAATACTCACACACAGCTGTCATGTTACCCCTGGGTCTCCTCTTCTCCAGGTTAAACATTCCTAGTTCTTTCAAGCCACTCTATAAGGCATGGACTCAAGAATGTTGACATCCTGGTTGCACTTTTCTGGACATTCTCCATATAATCAGTATCCTTTTTAAACTATGATGCTCCAAAATGAAAATGATACTCCACATGAGGCCTAAGGAAGGCAGAGTATATTGGAACTATCATTTCTGTATTCCTAGAAAGTATATCTCTTTTAGTGCAGCTCAAAATCACATTTGTTTTTTGGCTGCCATATCACACTGCTGACTAAGAGTAAGCTTACATTCCACTAAAACCTCCAGATCTTTTTCAGAACAACCACTGTCTAACCATGCCTCCCCCATTTTATCTTGTGAAGTTGATTTTTTTAATACTCAAGTATAAGACTCTTCATTTATCTCTGACAAATTCCTTATGAACAGATTCATTCTTCGGCTGTAGCTTTTTAATATCTTTTTGGAGCCTGGTTCTATTATTGTTCAGTGTTTTAGCTGACCCTCCCAGCTTTTCTCTCCTCTTCCTCCCAATATAACTAAAAAAAAATCTTTTTATTGTCCTTAGTTTCACTTGCCAACCTTGGCTCATTCTGAACTTTCACACTCCTGATACTATTTTATTTTGTTTTATTTTATTTTTATTTTTATTTTCATTCATTTATTTTGATTTATCAACAATCACTTCCATAAGCTTTTGAGTTTTAAATTTTTCTCTCCCTCCCTCCCCACCTCCCTTCCCAAGATGGTCCACAATCTGATATAGTCTATGCATATATATTCCTATTAAACATATTTTCACATTAGTCATGTTGTAAGGAAGAATTAGAACTAATATAAGGAACCACAAGAAAGAGGAAACAAAACAAAACAGAAGGAAAAAAAGAGCAAATAGTATGCTTTGATCTGCATTCAAACTCCACTTTGGATGTGGATAGCATTTTCCATCATGAGGCTTTTGGAGATGTCTTAGATCCTTGCATTGCTGAGAAGGGCTAAGTGTATCAGTTAGTCATCACGCAACATGGCTGTTACTGTGTACAACATTCTCCAGGTTCTGCTCACTTCCCTCAGCATCAGTCCATACAAGTATTTCCAGGTTTTTCTGAAGTCCACCTCATCATTTCTTATAGCACAGCAGTATTCCATTACATTCATAAACCATAACTTGTTCAGCCATTCCCCAATTGATGGACATCCCCTCAATTTCCAATTCTTTGCCACCACAGAAAGAGCTGCTATAAATATTTTTGTGCATGTGGGTCCTTCTCCCATTTGTATGATCTCTTTGGGATACAGCCCTAAAAGTGCTATTACTGGGTCAAAGGATAAGCACATTTTTATAGCCCTTTGGGCATAGTTCCAAATTGCTCTCCCAAATGGTTGGATCATTTCACAACTCCACCAACAATGCATTAGTGTTCCAATTTTCCCACATCTTCTCCAACATTTATCATTTTCCTGTTTTGTCATGTTGGCCAATCTGATAGGTATGATGTGGTACCTCAGAGTTATTTTGATTTGCATTTCTCTAATCAATAGTGATTTAGAGCGTTTTTTCATATGACTATAGATGGCTTTAATTTCTTCATCTGAGAAATGCCTGTTCATATCCTTTGACCATTTATCAATTGGGGAATGACTTGTGTTCTTATAAATTTGACTTAATTTTCTATATATTTTAGAAATGAGGCCCTTATCAGAAACACTGTTTGTAAAAATTCTTTCCCAGTTTTCTGCTTCCCTCCTAATCTTGGTTGCATTGGCTTTGTGCAAAAACTTTTTAATTTAATGTAATCAAAATTATCCATTTTGAATTTCATAATGTTCTCTGTCTCCTATTTGGTCATGAATTCTTCTGTTCTCCATAAATCTGACAGGTAAACTATTCCTTGCTCTCCCAGTTTGCTTATAGTATCAGCCTTTATATCTAAATCATGAACCCATTTTGACTTTATTTTGGTATATGGTGTGAGATTTTAATCAATGCCTAGTTTCTGCCATACTCTTTTCCAGTTTTCCCAGCAGTTTTTGTCAAAGAGTGAGTTCTTATCCCAGAAGCTGGGGTCCTTGGGTTTATCAAATAATAGATTACTATAGTCTTTGGCTACTGTTTCTTGCATACTTAACCTATTCCACTGATCCACCACTCTATTTCTTAGCCAGTACCAAGCAGTTTTGATGATTGCTGCTTTATAATAAAATTTAAGATCTGGAATGGGTAGGCCACCTTCCCCTGCATTGCTTTTCCTTGGCTCCCTTGATATTCTGGACCTTTTGTTCTTCCAAATGAATCTTGTTATTATTTTTTCTAACTCTATAAAATAATTTTTGGTAGTTTGATTGATATGGCACTGAATAAGTAAATTAGCTTATGTAGAATTGTCTTTTTGATTATATAAGCTCAGCCTATCCATGAGCAACTGATGTTTTCCCAATTATTTAGATCTAACTTTATTTGTGTGAAAAGTGTTTTGTAATTGTGTTCATATAGTTTCTGGGTTTGTTTTGGTAGGTAGACTCCTAAATATTTTATAATTTCTACAGTAACTTTAAATGGAATTTCTCTTTCTATCTCTTGCTGTTGGGCTTTGTTGGTAATATATAGAAATTCCAGTGACTTATGTGGGTTTATTTTATATCCTGCAACTTTGCTAAAGTTGTTTAT